GCCGTCGACGTGGGACCTAATGTCCCGCGGGGATTGCAGGAGAACCGAGCCATCCCAAAGAAGGGGGATGGTGTTGCGCCTGCGACGAACATTCGCGATGGCTTGGAAGTAAGCCGTATTCGCGTCACCCTTCAGGACCCATTTCTGAGCACCGCGCAACCGCCAGTAAGCCTCTTCATCCGTGTAGATGATAGAAAGCTGGTCCTCCAAGTCGTAGCGGGAAAGCCACTCCTCGGGGGAGAGGCCGTGCGCGTCGGCCCGAAGATCCAGGGCTTGGATCGCGGACAGAAGAGCCTTCTTACGCTCACGGAAGTCGCACCCCAGGTTGGAGCCCCATCCTTTCATGAACTGTCGGCCCCGTTTGGCGCAGCTGTGCCAGGAGTACAGCAGAAGGAGGGCGAGCAGGGGACAGGGAGAGAGCCCGAGTCTCCACCCACCGGGCACCGACCGCGTCAATGAAGCCAGGTTGGGACAGCCAAAAAGTCTCAAACCGGAAGCGGGGGGGAACCGGGGGGCGTTCATCAGCAGAAGAGAGAAGGAGGGGGACGTGGTCAGATCCAATCCGGGTGATGGCCCAGAGGGATACGAGGGAGCAGCGGAGGTCCCATTCCGGGGAAACTAGGACCCGGTCCAGAACGGACTGGGTCGGGGCAGCCTGACGGTTGGTCCAAGTGAACCTGGCCCCAACCCGGTCGATCTCACGGAGGCCAAGATCAGCAATGCAGTCGTTGAACATTTGCATAAGGCCAAAGTTGACGTTGGCATTGCTCTTGTCCTCCGCGCACCTAAGGAGGTTAAAATCACCCCCTACGACAACAGGCAGCGATGCCGTCGACACCTTCCGATGAAGCTCCTCGAGGAAGGAAGCGGATCGGCTGTGATCGGCAGGACGTAGACAATAATGACCTCCCACTTGAAGTTCAGGGAGCGCTCGAAAAGCTCCATGCTAACGAAGAACTGGCCCTGGTCCATACTACCCACCTCGAATGTGGCATCCTTCACACCTAACAGGATGCCACCAGAATGGCCCGCGGTCCCACTAGACGGGAGCCAATGCCAGGCGAAAAGGTGGGAGCTCAGGCGGTCAAGCTCCGTAAGGGAGAACTCCGTACGCATGGTCTCTTGGATGGCCACAATGTCAATGTGTTCGTCACGAATGTACTCGATGAGTTGGCGGTGGCGGCCATCATGGCCGAAACCGCGGATGTTCCAGAAGAGGGCACGCATCCCGCAGCCATTGAGGGGCTGCTTGACCCCAGGACACGAGATGCGCTTTGCGCGCGAAGAGCAGCCGTCCGAGATCGGGTACGACCCCGAAGCTCGGTAACGGACAGGGGGGGGGATTCCACCGATCCGACGAGGAGGAGGCGGTCTCGGGTCCACTGACTCGGGCAACGAGTCAGGGGGCAGGAGCAGGGCTGCTCTAGCTGCAGCCAGCCTACCATCGAGGATCTCGCGGGCCCTAATGGCCTCGATATGGGCTAAGGGGGAGCCGACCTCCCCCCTAAATATGACCGCGGAGTCAGTCGCGATCTTCACAAGGTTCCCAAGAGGGATCGACTCGAGAGCAGAGAAAGAACAAGTAGCTGCCGAGGGAGGGACTAAGGGGGTACCTGGCGTGATAGTCCCTCCCAGCACCCGGGTTATCGCCAGGAGGCCCATCGTCGGTGAAGCGAGGACGACCGACGTGGTTGGGAGTCTCGGGGGCGATGCGGAGGTCGTAGCCCAGGTCGTTGAAGAAAACACGGACGGTGACATGGAGCTTGGAGGAGTCTAGACACTTGACCTTGACCCGGACCTCTTCCCACTTGCGGAGGGAGAGCTCGTCGACCACCACCACCTTGCCCAGGATCCGGGACATCTGCGGATGACGAGCTCGGACCGGGCGATGTCAGGGAGGCCACCCACGATGAGCCAAGCGGTGTCCAGGACAGCCACCGAGGGGGCGTCGAGGACCGGCTCGGTGATGTCGACGACGAGCTGGTTGAGGGCGAGGGTGATCCAGCCACTACGAGTGGCGTAGCCGTAACTGATGGTGTCGGGGAAGATGACGGTGAAGATGTGGCCAGCAGTGGGAGTGACCGCCCAGTCCCACTGGCGACGGTAGAGGTGGTTGAGCTCAGCCTCGATCATCTCCGGGGATGCCACCCCGTCGACCACTGTAACGATCGCCTGAAGGGAGGGGGTGGGCGGGGGGAGATCCGGGACCTCGAGATGGAAGAACCCAAGCCCCTCGATGCCGTGGCCATACATCATGAGCTCGGACGTCACCGGGCGGTCTGGGCACAGGAGAGCCGAATGACCAGGATCCGAGCAAATGTAGCAGCACTGGGGGTTGACGCAGTTGACTTGCGAGTGACCCGGCACCCCGCAGTTGAAACACGGGGGGGCGAGGGAGGTTGGAGACGGGACCCGGGGCGACGGAGGTGCCCGAAGCCGAGGCCGGAGGGGCGGCCGGGTTGCCACGGCCCTGGCCTCGACGCTTCTTTTTCTTGGCAGGGCCTTGGCGGCCGCGAGCGGGAGCGCCGCCCGAGGTGGCAGCCGAGGCAGGAGCCGAAGGGCCGGCGGCGTGAGGTGGCACGTACTTTCGGGAGGCCGACGCGACGGCCGAGGCTTGGGCGCGGGGGGACGGGGGGCGCGCAGCGTGAGACGGAGATGGGCTGCGGCCCCGACGAGGAGGCGGGGAGGGCGAACGGCGACGCGGGCGCCAGTCCCCCGAGGTGGCTGGACGAGGGGAGCGGGGGAACGGCGGTCGTTCCGGTGACCTTCGCGGAGCTCGCGTCGGAGCTCCTCCTCACGGCGGAGGGTGTCAGGGGAGGGACGGGGAGGGTCGCGACGGTCGTCCGAGCGACGCATGGGGCGGGGTGCCCCGTCCTCCCAGTCACGCGGCATGGCCGGGCGCGGAGAGGGAGGGGGAGACGCGGAGGAGGGGGGAGGGACGGCCGCCGGAGAGCTCGAGGTCGGGGCGAGGTCGGGGCGAGCAGCAACCGACGAGGCGGCGGGGGGAGGGAATGAGGAGCACGGGCGACCTCCTGGGATCCAGATCAACCGCCCTAGGGGAGTGGGCCTAGGGCTCGGGCGTGGCCCAGGAGGGGTCAGCCGGCCCAGCTAGGGGGCGCGGGCCCAGGAGAGGGGAAGACCGGTTGGGCCGGCGCGCGGCCCAAGATGCCAAGGCCCAACGGGCCATAGCCCAGCAGGCGGGCGGCAGGCGTGACCCGTAGGGTTTCCCCCTGGGGCGCGGCGCCCACCATCGCCGCCGCCGGCGTGACCGAGGAGGGGGGCAGGGGTGCAATCCGACGGGAGAAGCCGACGCGGAGGCACAGAGCGGAGGAGCCAAACGAGGCTATGAAGGGGCGGAACGGCTTCGAGCGGGCGGGCGGGGCCGCGGAAGGCAGGTCGCGACGCGCCGCGGGCAGCAACGGGGACAACTCCGGCGGGCCGCAATCGGCCGGATGACGCCAGGACGAACCTGCGCCGCCCCGCTCGGAGCGGCCGACCACACCCCAAGACCGGAGGCGCCGACGGCGAGCTCCACCAGCCCCCAAGGACGCTCCTTGCAGCCCGGACGCCCGAGACGAGCTCGAGGGCGAGGTCTGCGCATGCGGCGGCCGTGAGCCGGCTACCGAACCCCGCACGCGGGGGGCCTGGGTTACCGGCCCGGCAGGACCGCGCAACGCGACGGGGCATGGAGGCCAGGGGAGG